ATATATATATATATATATATATATAGCAGTTTTTTGAAACTTCATATGACACTTTTTAGGTGGTCATCTTTTATAGAGGGAAAGTTGGTTTTATATTGACACATTTGTTCAGGGATAACTTGTGGTTTGCTCCCCACTGTATAGTTTACCATGGTAATATTCAGTCGGAGTTGGTAAGTCTGACTTCAAAACAACATTAGCACTGTTTAATTGACTGTAAACAAGTTTAAAAGTTTACTTTGACAGTCATTGGCTGATCATATGATTTCACTATTTAGAATATGCAGATAATACTTCTCTGCAAATATACAGTATATTATCAAGAAGCAAGTCTGGATGTGTGAATATAAATCTAACTTGACCTCAGTTTCTGAATTGAAAATATCAAGTATTGTGGGTTTTTGTTAACTCTACATCCCTGTTTACATAAATATATATAATTTTTCCATTAAATAGCAAAAAATATATATATATTTTTAATTATTTGCTGTTATTTAATGTACCAGTATATTATTTAATATTTACAATAATATATTATTTTTCGCTCATAATTTGTCTCTCACATTCATTCCAGGTTTGCTTGTTTTTTGTCATTTAAATTTATTAAATTGTTTTCTGTTTTTATGTTTAGAAGTTAAAACTTTTCCACTTTTATGACTTTTATGACACGATTCTTGACTCAAAAGCATTTTTAATTTTAATTCCTCAAGTAGGCTAGTTTAAATATTCATTAATTTGTTCATTTATTTAGAGTTTTAAATCTACTTTTAATATATAGTATGTTTTAATTATTTGTTTGTTAGTTCTTATCTGAATTAATACATGTATTATTTAAAAATACATCTTGAAGTTTTATTCAATTAAATATGAATGTATATAACACAAATACATATTTATTCTATGCAAATACAAAATAAACTCATGTACATTTTATTTACATGTATTATAGAAAAAATACATCTTGAAATGCTAATCAGTTAAACTTCTACTGTATTAATCCTTCATTTCCTCTTTTGTCCCAATTTTTAAATATACTATTGTTTTAAATAAATATTAATTTAATTAATTGATTTAATCATTAAATATTTATTTTCTAAGTGCATACTTATTTTCTTAGTTTCTTAGTGCACTTTCTCGAAGCAGAATTTACATCTTCAACTGTAGATTTGAATGTCTCGGATGCAGGCATGGGATGATAGCCGGTTGAATGATTCTCCTCAATATCATTCCAGAAAAGTTTGCTTTTCAAATTCTAAATGGACATAAGAATCAACGACTCTCAAAGCCCACCAGTGTTCACAGTCAGTTATATAGTGCTGATGCTGTCTTGGTCATGTTTGCATGCTATTTCTGACCCAATTTTCAATATAGCGGCAAACATTATAGGGAGCGTGTCTCTGTTCAAAAATGATCGAATGTGTGAATATAAAACCAACTTTCCCTTAATAACCAGTTTTAAGGTTTGGAAAAATCAAGGTTTTAAAACTGTGTAAAACATCTGTTAAACTGTTCCTACTGTATATGCAAGTTTTATTTTTTACGGGTTATTTTATTTAATTTTTAGGGCACCAGTATGTCCAGCAGAAAACAAGCCTCCACATCAAAATCTACTGGTCAGCTCATGATGCAGCAAACATCTGAAAAATAAATCACCTATACAGCAACAGTGCAGTGGCTTTACCGTACTGTATATCCACAGATCTTCAAAGAGACCTTCTCAAGATGTAAAGAAATCTGTGCTTGACCATAATGAAGACAGCAGAGGGTGATGATTTCTTTTCAATATGTAGCCTGATTGTGTTCCAGGTTAGGGTTGGGTTACTGTTCCAAATTATTATAAATGTTTCTTAAAATTAAAAATATAGTTTGTAATGGGGCAAAGCAGTTGTGTTTTTACCCAGACATTAAAAATGGAACATTTTATAGAAGAAAGCACAATACTGTGAAACCGTGATGTTTTTAGTTTATCATGTTGACAGAATCTTACACCAGCCCATGCC